AAGTGGCCAGTATTAAACTGTGTACATCCCTGGAGGTTTAGGGGATAGGAAACACTCAAATGTAAAACATATAATTAATAAATGGGTGAAAATTGCTTGTGCCCATAATGGGTAGCATTACCCACATGCCAGCTAAGGTCAGAAGAGCTTTATTTAATAGCTGGTCTTATGTCTGTGACCCCTCCTGTTGTTAATTGATAAGCCTGATAAATGCACTTGTCAAGGTTCAGAGGCACATTTTGCAAATATGGCAGTAGCCATCGATCATCTTAAGATAAGATATACTTTATTGATCCCAAGTTGGAAACATTTGCGTTACATCATATGTAACATGTGTAACAGTTGTAAATATGCAGTGGTGTTTATTTGTAAATCATTTAGTATAATCACACAAATTCTGTGTTTTATATTTAATAATTCTGTGTTCTTTATTTATTGATTGTTCAATACCTGACAAGGCCGGAGATGAAAAACTTTGGTCGCAGGTTCTTCAACAGTGCATTACAAGACATCTATCAATATGTGTGTACCTCCACCATTAAACTGTCATATTCTGCACATTTCTTATACTATCTACATACATCTTATATAAGAGTATAATACATATGTATAATATCAGTTAAAATAAGTGCATCAACATAGTTAACATTGCTGGAGGTATACACAAAGTTTTTCATTCATTGCATAACTACACCGTTTGTGTATATGATATGTCAATAAACCTTAGGAAATCTTCAAATCTTGAAAGGGATGTGCAAAATAGTCATTATATACAGTCTTTAATTAACTATTAGTAGAGAATAACGAGTAATGAATATACTTTATAGGGATCCTATTAATATCTAATAATAAAAATAATGAAATTCAATAACATGCTTTAACCACTAGGTGTCCCTTTATATCAGCTGTGCACCTTTATGGTGTAAATACAGCCTATCTACCAATTGGATCAAATATAAAAGTCAGCCGAATTAGTGTTGATACTGCAAGGAGACGTATTGTGTGAAAAGAAATGTAAGACGTTGTTTAATGGCTGATATATTTATGATCCATGTCACGTTTTCAGTGTTGGCGGCAGTTCCTCATGTTTGTCTAGAAGTCTTCTCATCAGGGCTCTATAAATAGAGAACTACGGCAAATACAGTATGTAATATTTAATGCAGCCGAACCGTGTATTACAATGCCGTTATGTGATGACTTTCAAAGAGAAAAGCAAGCACACTCGGAATAAAGTGTTTTCGGTCTGTTTCCGGTATTTGTTTATGACGATGTGATGTGAGATGTGAGACTGGAATTGCACAGGGGAAAATAACGTATATGCCACAATTTTAGATGCGGATTTTGTTAAACTAATACGTTTGCGCTGTGGACCAACACTATACATTGACGGGGAAGGGGGTAGCAATAAAGATTACACCATTAAACTGTTACACAACATAACAGAAATAATATCGATAGCAGCGTCCCTAGCAACCACCTTGGTAACAATGAAAACGTTGTATCGACACAATTTCCTGAAGTAATCTTCGTAATAACTAGCAAACTAAAGATCATGTGCATCAACTGCACACATAATCTGAAATAACAACTCATGTTTCTCGCATCAAATGACATCAAAACGCATTTTAATGGCCAAACTAACTTTAAAATAGGCATTTTACACCGAGAATAAAACGAAGTTCGGCCATGTTTTTTCTTTCTGCAGGGAGAAATGTGAAGATCACGTGACATAGACGCCAGCCATTGGAATGAATGGTGAAAAAAAACGTTGGGATCTTACAATTTCAGAGGCGTTTTTGTAGTAATACTACGTCCTACGTTGTAGACCAACGTAGTTATTACACGTTTTTTTATGAGACTGGGTTGGTTAAGCCCCAAGGTCCCCCTCGGCGGGTACTTTTTTTTTCACGACACTGTGTCTCAGGGGATCTTAATGTGTTATACCAGATTAACGGGAATAATCTCAGCTAACTGACGATACAAACCATTTTTTACCAAAACAAAACACAAGTCTCATAAGAAGCATCTAAATGACCCCTGAGCGAAAAATGCTAACACAATTTGGCACAGAACTCAAGATAAAAGATACCCTTATTACTTATCGTAGCTGCACATACAAGATATCCGATTAAAGCTGAGGTTCCACAGAATATTTAGGTATAGTATCATCAATGAGTGATCCGGACTCGCGACAGGGGAAGCAAACACAGACATCACAACACGTACCTTTACGTAGCTTTTACGGGAGATCGTCTCACCTTAGCTGTCAATCTGATCAAAAGACTTGTTCAATAGCATTAAAACGAGAAAAAACGCGGCTGAATCGGTTAATCCATAGGTTGATAATGTTTCTGTGGAATATTTTTTTTAATTTATAATCCATAATTCCATTTTTATGTAAAAATCGGAGAGTAAAAGTTAGCTGCTAATGGTAGCAACCAGAGTTATCGCAGCTTCCGGTTTTGGCTATGCGTCAGTCTCACACACACACATTACCAAATAATGAGTATGTGGGAGTTCCCCTCGATTCCATTGGCTCTGATGGTTAAAAAGAGATGTCAATCAGCAAAATCGAGCAAGGGGGGCCAGAGATAGGTCAAATCCACCCAAATGACCCCAGAAGTGTTTTTTTTGCTTAATCTCTCTAAAAAGGTCAAATGTCACTTGTTTTGCATCAATCTTGATACAGGGTACTTATTATATGTTGTAGTTTGGATTCCTAACGCTTTTAGTCTACCATCCCATCATTCAAGGGTGGTTTTCACTATAAGTAATTTTCTTTTTTTGGACGGACACAATAATTTACATTTTTTTACTGTGTTCAATCTACATTGACTTTAAAATAAAAACATCTATATTGATTCTGATACTTCTACATCCAACTCACAGGTGTAACCTTGCTTTGAGAAAAAAGATTATTAATTTAACCCTTTTAGAAGGGAGGAAATGGTAATTTGTTCTGGGAATGTCATTTTCGAGCCTGAGACCTGAAAAACAGGCTCGGGCTTAACATTATCCATGTCCTTATTACACCACCTGTATAGTGGTGATCCCCAGCATTTGATACTAAACTGCTAAAGAGCTTCTGCCAGTCAGAGCAACTTTGAAATTATTGCTTGGTTTTCAGGTAACTTTAGGATGTGCAATTTAATCTCTCCTTAGTATTTACAATGCGAACCTCTAGTGGTTAAGGAAGGTTTGTATTTTGTAGCTCACGTTCTCACTGTTTTCCACACAAATTATTCAATATGCTGGGCCACTATGACAATAAACAACTCCTTTGTTCTTTGAAACAAGCATAACAGAGGCTATTTGAACTTTGAGCCATTTGTCTGGCATTTAATTTCACTTCCCCATGAACACAGTGGATGCATTGACCAAAACCATGAACTCACACTGGCCTTTAAATGTGGCAAAAATATTAAGCACAGTAAAAATCCCAATGAGCATGTTAAAAAGTCAAATTATAAGTGGTAAACATAATCACCACCCAGTTTGCAAATAAATAATTTGACATAATGAGAACTGCAAGATGTACTGCTTCTGTTCAAAACATGTTTTCCCCCCTTTATAACCTGCAGATACCTAGCCACATTAGTATTCATTCGGGGTCCTGTTTCTGTCCACTTGGTGAACAAATGGCCAACATTCATCCTCTATTTATTTTGTTTTTGGTGGAGACCACACTTTATAAATGGATGCCATCATATTAATGTAGAATCTGTAGTGTCACATGTTATAGATACAAGGAATTGAGTTCTTAGCTGCTAAATAGTCTGAAATAAACAGTGGAAATATCATTTTACTCATTTTGAGTAATCTCTGATGACTATAATATTTGAAAACGCTTTAAAAACAGTGAGAGAAAACCAAAACATTAAAGTTGCTGGACAAAGTTTGTGGTTCCTATAGTTTGTAACCACTCCTTTAATAAATGGATATAGTTTTTTGCCTAAGCAGTGCGAATAGACAATAACTGGTAATTAATCAAAACAAATTAATGGTCAAAACATCCTGTCCAACAAGTTTATCCACACATGCCTCAAAATGTCCTCAGTTGCATCACTCTACAAAACCCACGCCTCTGGCAGGAAAAAATATCTCCTTTTCCTCAACAACTCCCACACTGTTTCATTGTATTCAGTATTTGGATGCATGCTCACACATGCAAAAACACCCACACAGACAAGCATAAGTGGTGCTTACTGAATGCATCTAATAAAAAATCCCCAAACCGCACTGTCACCACTTTGAAATCAAATGTGGGATTATAACTGAAGAGACAAGATAAAGACATATTAAGATAAAGTTTGGTTATCTTGGTTTACAGTTTACCATCCACTTCCTTACACTTCAATTCAACTGTATCCCTCTCTTCAGATGTGCTTATAGGACAGATAACAAAAACTAAATCTGTACTAGCAAGCCTCAGGCTAGTATTAGATATATATATTGAATAATCATTTTATTTTATTTTAACAATAATCCTGGCAGGGCATTTCAAGACAAACAGAATTTAACCGACCATCATGTTGCATGACATACAACGACATACAACAAAGAATTTAAAAAAAAGAAAACAGGACAGGTCACCTCTGGACAACTTTTCGCATAGGGCCCCAATTTGGCCAATTCAGCATGCATGTACTGTACTTTAAATGTGAAGGTCTTTTTCCCTGCTAAGAGGACATGTTAAAGGGAAACACAGGAATGTTTGCAGTTTGTTGGATTGCAAAAAAAGTCATATTGAAAATATACAGTATTTGCTGATTTATGCTTGTGCTTATTAATGGATTGTCTAACTATAACGCATGTCTGGGTTGCATGAAGTATGGAAGGTATTTCTCATGGAATACAAATGAACTGATAAAGGTCTGCCTCAGGGCAGCATCTGAAAAGACACGTTGGAAAATTCTGGCAAGAAACAAAAGAGAGAGGAGTGTAGAGGAAATGGTTGCCAACTTTCTCCCGTTTCCCGTCATCGATCACACTTTCACTTTCGCCACAGACTTGTATAAATACACCTGTAGCTCTCCTCCTCACAGCAACACCTCTGCACTCCTGAAGAGACTCCCTGAAGAACCAACCTGAGCTCAGACCTGCGAAGAAACAGAGACATGGCCTCTCGAATTGCACTTCTCCTCTTGCTGGGTGTCATCTGCGTTGGGTTTGCATCAGGTAAGACACATTCTTTGCATTAGCAGTAAAATAGATTCGTATTTCAGAATGCTTTGAAAGTGACTGTAAGGAGCATGTTTGTTCATCGGCTGTACTCTCCTGCAACTTAGGTTCAATCGATAAAGCCCCAGGCCTATGGACACTTTCCTTTAATTTGCACATGTGCTCTCCTGATGAATTTGTTTCTCTGTGTTCTTCCAGCCCAGATTGCCCAAGACTGCTGTATCAAGGTTGCTGAGAAGCGTTTGCCGCTCCAAATCCTCCAAAGCTACACCATTCAGGATGCTGGACAAGGATGCTCCATCAGCGCTACTGTGTATGTAAAATATTTGTATGCATTTAGTGGCAAAATCAAGTCATTTGATGAGATGCCCTGTGATTTTACAGGAGCTGGTTTCTCCTATTTTGTGTGTTTTTTTTCAGCGTTCTGTTTAGTGTTCTCACCTCTGTGTCTCTCATCTGCTTTTCCAGGTTTGTTTCAAAAGTTGGAAAAACCCTCTGCGTCCCCCATCCCAACGATAAAGCCTGGGTGAAGAGTTACATTAGACAGCTGAATCAGAAACATCAAAGACATCACTAATCAGGTACATTCTATATTCTCTCGCTGAACTTTAAACATAATGATTGCACCTCTGTGAAGGCCTATTGCACCTTTTTTTACAAAGAGTTTGATTTGAAATTCTTTCTTTCTGCAGGTGTAGAGAGGAGTGGACTGTGGGAAAAGGCTGCTGACAAACGAAAAGGGCCGACTCTTAACTGAGGGCAGAAGACGGCAGAATCCTCTCCATTTGGCTTCAGTCTCGTACTTTAGTAGATCAAAACCGTTTGAGAAGATCTTATCTTTAATATCTTTGAGGAATCATCCCCTCATCATGCCAGTGAATCCAGTAGCTACATGTACAGTTCTTGATATGTGTCCTCTCATTTGTGGTGAATGCGGTCTAAATACATTTGTGAATGAATGTTTTTCATTTATTTTCTATTATCTATTGAGTGAAATGTACAATTGTTTGTTTTGTTTCAACCATAAGACTGTACGGTGCCTGAGGATAATGTCCCTAAATTATGTTTGTCAAGATGTGTTTATATTTTATAATAAGTTGGATTTAAAGTGTATTTTAGTATGACCATGTATAAAATGTAGATTTATGTTTCAAAAAAGTTTCTCAATAAAGTTTGATGTATTGTAACATTTAGTGGATTTCTTTCTCTAACACACATCACCTAACTGCATCCACTAGAGTTAATATAACAATTATTAAAATAGACAAACATTTATATAAGCAATGTGTTAATTACTTCAAATGTTTGTCATGATGCTGGTCGTTAAGGAGGGATGAGATCAATTTCTTTACCCAGATGGCCTGGGTTCAACTAAGGCGTGTATTTATACTTCTATGTCTAGGTACTGGTACGCTTCAATGACATTAACATATACCAAAGACTGGACGAGATCTTATCAACAGAGAGAAAAGGTGTTGAGCTATACCTGTATAAATGACTGGATGTCATATGTTTCCCACGGTGGCCAGGAGAGTTCATTTTACACCAATTTAGAAAAAGCCATAGCAAATTATTCTCAAAAAAACAAGAAATACACAAAATAAAATGAACAAAATACAAAAGCAAGCAGATTCAAAAACAAGTTTAAGTTGAAATGGGTATTGGATTATGAATTTGATCTTAGACTGAAGAAAAGCCATAGTTTTTAGTCATTCTCCTGACTAGAATTTGCATTGCAATTCAAAGGGCCCCTAGTATGTTCATGTTCATATTTGTATTTTGTGCATCTACTGTGACATGTTGACATACTTTAATGTTGAAAAAGGTCTTTATTATTCTCATACTGCATTTTCACCCTCTGTCTGAAAGCAGAGCCCAGTCTGCTCTGATTGGTTAGCTGGCCGGCTCTGTTGTGATTGCCGATCACCTACAATGTGTTGGGGCACTAGCTAATAGAAGCGTGAGTGATACATAGTGATGCCACTACTGTATGTCACGGAAGAAAAGGAGCAATTGAGGCGTTTCAGGCAGGTGGGGTGGGGGGGTATGTGGGAGAGAAACTCCCTCTGGAAAGAACTTTGGGATTCTAGCCTATGCAGACCATTACAATTTGACATGCACAAAAACCTATAAAACACACTAGAGTGAATAGAAAACCCAAAAAGCAGAATAGAGCCCTTCTAATCTTGGTAAGCAGTCAGTTATGCAGGCATACATTATTTTCCCAGGAACATTTGATCTCTGCTGAAACTGAAAGCTGGGACCTCAGCGTTTCAGAGCGGTGGTCCTTCCAACTTCATTTGACCTTATGACCTTCTTTTTACGAGAGACAGTGTCTCAGGGCTCACAGCCACAAATTGTCCTCAAGGCCAAAGAACAAGACTCCTAATGTACTGTACAAGAGCATCCTGTGGAGTTCCCCACATTGCACATGGGGCTGTGTTGGATCACAGATAAGTCAAAAATAAGAGAAAAACTCCATGAGCATTTAGTTACCCGGAACAGATTTGCTGCAGATGTCCGTTATAAGCAAAACACCCATGAGTGTTATAATGTTTAATATTATTGGATTATTATGACTGATTCATTCTCAAATCAACATTTATGCAATAGCAACAATATCACATGCAAATGGGGTTGCAAGAAAGCATTGCTAAAATGTTTTAAACAAGTACAGCTGTTCCAAAAGGCTAGAATCACCAGAGAATCTTTACCAGACCCTGTAGCTAACTCAAGTTCTACCGAGCGATTTAGTATCTTTAAGCTTCCAGCTATGTTTCCAGTTTTACGTGCGGTGGGTTCGTTGTTTTGATACGCTTTGTTCTCATCTGTGTGGTTTTAGGCTGCAGCAGGACCAAAAAAGGACTCAAGTTATCTTCCTTCCTTGGAACAGTCATTACAAGTTGACAACTAGCTTGTGAACTAAGTAAATGTAGCTGCTAAAGAACATCAACATTTTCCAAGCAGTTTTTTTTGGAGGGTAGCCGTAGATAAAATACTGGACCTCACCAGGTGATCTGAAACAAAACTCCAAATGAATAGCTGCTGATTTGGCATTAAACTACTGTTTGTTAACTTGAGTGAGGTTATGATATGGCTATATTAGGCTTACTCATATAGACTTTATATAACAAATGGATCTAGTCAATGTAACATTTGCCATCCAGCAATGACACAAGAGGTCAGTCTCAACCAACACTGAAAAATACACTTTCAGGCAACAAAAATACTACAAAGCACTTGTACTAACTGAAAACATACGGGAATCTGGAAAAGTTGAAGAAGAAAACGTGGATAATGCTTTGGTAGCAACCTGTCAATCACAAGGTAGCTCCACACGGTAGTTGTTCTCCATTTGAACATAAATGGGATCCTAATTTATAAAAATGGACCACATACTGTAATGAAGAAGACTTGAAACTAGCGATTTAGACCATGTACTCATGTTTACCAATACACAATCCAGTCAGAAGTCCTTTGGAGTTATTTTCAATCAGACTTAAGTCTCCCTGTTGCTGAACACCTGAATGCAGATTTAAGGCCCTTCTGCTTTGGCTTCACTTTTCTCAACTGTTAGTCACCACCTGTTAACTTAGTGCAGTGCCTCAAGTGACCAAAAAACATTTTCTGTAGGTTTAAATTATTTGAATATTAAATTATCATACTTTAAAGAAAACTATGACTCTTGATCTTCTTCGGCCTTGATATTTGGCTTGTTGGAATCATAAAATAATTGTTTTAATAAAGTATTCAAAGACACAGGGAAGGTAAGACATGTCCTTTCCCGTCAGCCTAGGTGACATGCTCACTCTAACACAATAACTGCTTTCTGGATTCCTGCCAAACTTTCCCTCTGCAGACAACAGCTCAGGTCAAACTACTTTTTATATCTTCCTGTAAGTACTTCAGCTGGGAAATTCCAAGAGAGTAAATACAGCTGACAGATAAGGCACACATCCCACTAGGCATTTACAAGAAAAGGAAACCTTCTCTGTAAGTGCCTCATTGGCCCTTACAGCGTGTGAATGAACCGACGGTTAATGTGTGCCTGATTATGCAATACAAAAGCCGTATAATGTAAGCTGATAGCAAAGCAATTCAAAAATAGTTATTTGATGTCAAGACAAAGGGATAAAGGCTCAACTTCCAAAGAATCAGTTTCACTGCAATTAATGTTTTTCCGAGAAGTGACTCATATTTCACATATATATATATTATATAATACATATTTTCACAATATATCAGCAAAAGGAAGTGAAATTGCGTAATAATGCAAGTGCTTGTTCTGTTTAACACAAAAGAGGGTATGGATTTACCATAATAACATTAATTCTCCTACCGTTATATCATCATGTGCGATCTCAAGCACTGGATGTATCCTCAAGATGTATCCTCAAGATGTATCCTCAAGGTAGATAAAACGTGTATTTTAAAAGGACAATAAACAACGCGGTGTCATAAAGGTTACTCTACTACATGATAACAAACATTAGTCGCACCGGTGGCCCACTGCATACAGCTGGTGCCCTTTTTTATTTTCTTCACCCTTGTCTCCTCAGACAGACTGAGTCCGCCACTGATGTGAAAAAACCTTGTTTTACAGTCAAGTTTACTGCTAAGGCCACAGTGTCTTGTCTTTTATCTCTTATGATAAAAACATTAAAGCGACAGCCTCTTGTTAAAATAAGAACAGTGCAGGAGAAATTATAATTTGCTGTTAAATTCTAAAAGAAGAACAAATATAGCAGGATAATACAGTATGTTGTTGGACAAGATGTTGTTTAAGAAGATCAATTCTAACTATGGTGAGTTAAATTATGATTGCAGCTGACATTTGAAAGAAACCCAGATTTCGGAGTCAAAGTAGTGTTACTTTAGTTTAGTATGCAGTAAAATGATAGATTGTGGGGGCATTCCAGATCATATTTTGTCATACTTTAGGTATGTACTGTACTGCAGTTGCCCTTAAAAAGTATGTTGTGTTGTAATAACATTGCATCTTGAACGTTTTACCCTTTAGCTCAGGGGTGTCAAACTCAAGGCCCGGGGGCCAAATCCGGCCCGCCACTTAATTTGATGTGGCCCACAAGAGCTTGCAAAGAGTATACTACGTTTATTATAAGGTTACGTGCTGCTTTACAGGATCACGTTGCCCATAAACTAGATGCCCCACAATGCATCTCATTTTTTGAGATGCGCACTGAAGAAACTTGCAATTACTTACCTAGAGTTCTGCTTTCAGACGTAGTTAATTAAGTGATTACCCTATCTGATAATAATCCAATGCAGATGAAATATTGTAAAATAATACATTATTTTATATATATTATATATATTTATCTATGTATATTTATATAGTCTTAAAGTTACCACCGGCCCTTTGAGAGCAACCATCATTCAAATGTGGCCCACGATGAAATTGAGTTTGACACCCCTGCTTTAGCTCATATATTTGCTGTGAAAAAAATGGTTGGTCTGAAAAAGTGTCATTCTGGCTTTGTTATTGCAAAATGTAATTGGATCTAGTAGGAAACGCTGGTACTTTTGGCAGGATGCATGACATACTCTGCTCTTCAGTAAGGGTATTGGAACTCCTTGTATAACAAGTGGACAAAGTAACAGTGACATACAGTAACTCATTGGTTTGTGGACCTCTTTGAAGAGATTGGTGTTTTGGCCGTTACTGTCATTATTTTTGGCAGTTTATTTTTACTCTAAAACGGATCATAATTTGAAGAATTGACATCACATCATGCTGTATCAATAAAGAACTGAAACTGTAAGTAATCTTCTGAGAAAATCTGAATAGTGCTGGGA